ATAAATGTTTACTTCAGTCATTTCAATTGACCTTACTTGACTGTGTTTTCTGTGGCTTTTGGTAGAGAGGTTGGGGTTCTAAACATTAATTAGCTGAAATATTTTGACTTGGATTATCTGAGTATTTATGCTTCTGTTACTTAAGAATCTTACAAGTAGGAGTTGGAGAAAAGGAAGGCTCAGTGGTTAAGAGCATATATTGCTTTTCTAGAGGACCAGAGTAGAGTTTCCAGGACCTATTTAGGAGGCTCACGACAGCCTGTAACTCCATTCCCAGAAGACTCAACACTCTTTTGGCTTCCAAGGATAACCCCTGCCCACAATGTGCCTGCATAGATAAGTTAAAAAACAAAACAAAGCAAAAAAAAAAAACCATCAATTTTTGAGTACCGTTTAAATATGATGTACTAAAACTTTTCTTTGTAAAAGAGAACTGTTTAAAGCTTTTTAGTTAAGAGGAAATTTTAATTAAAAAGTACACTTGTTCATAGAGTTCCATGAAATGTTATGATACATATATCATAACATCATATGTGTGATGTTTATGGTTAGGTTAACACTTCTACCTCTTTAAACAGTTATCATTTCTTTGTAGTGAAAACGTTCAAAATCCAGCTTTTTTTTTTTTTTAAGAGGTTATAATGTTGTTATATGTTGTAGTTAGGCTACTGTGCAGAGCACCAGAACTTCCAACTCTGACCTAGAACCTGGGAAAGTGCTGGGTTGTTAAGTTCAATGTTTGCTGGTTATGACGCAGGAAGAATCTCATGACTTGCTGTTGAACAGTGTGTAGCCACTGTGAGGCAACTGTACTTTTCTGCTTTAGGACACTCCATGCGTCTATCCTTAGTCTTTCTGATCTCTCTGTGTTCTCAGAGAGCATAAAATTGGGTACTTAGCCCTTAACAAACCCATAATCTGCTTCTGTGGGCTCTTTAGATAAGGCATGATATGTTTGTTGTCTTGCCTTTGGTCATTGTAGACTCTTAATTTCAAAGTAGATATCCCCCTTCCTCCTCCCTCTTTCTCTCACCTCTCCTCCCTCTCTCCTTCCCTCTCCTCCCTCCCTCCCTCCCTTCAGGATAGATGTCTTTAGTTCAGTTGTCTCTCAGGATGACAAATCTCTTATTACAAAGGAACTTCCCTTTATAGTTATAGGATACCTCTCCAGTTAACATTTACATACATTAAAGGACGCTGACATTTCTCTTAATTGAAAGACAACCTTAAAGCAGTATGTTTCTTGCTTGAAGGGAGAATGGCATCTCACTTTGAGAAACCGATTTAGTGGAAGTGTTCCTGTGCACTTTGGTCTCTTAAGTGTTGGCATCTATATTGTGTGGATGTCTGTCTTCTCACAGAACCCTCATAACTCCTTGATGATTGAGCTTTCTCTACAGGCCAAATTCTTGTAACATTTTGGTGAGTCCATCTCTAATGAATGTTGGCCTTCAGCATCTGGGGAGTGTTGAGAGAGAGAGAGAGAGAGAGAGAGAGAGAGAGAGAGAGAGAGAGAGCGCGCTTATCTTCAAGGACTGGGTTTGCAAACAAGTGAGTTTGTAAGTGGTTAAAGGTGCTTGCTGTCAAGTCTACCAATCTTAGTTCAACCCTTATGGCCTACATGATGGACGAAGAGAATATGTTCTCTGATCTCCATGTGTATCCGTTTACATGTACATGCACACACTAAACAAAAAGTTAAAAGAAAGCAAAACATGTAATTGTCAATGGCAAATCTGCTGTTGTGAATTACAAAGTAGATGTCTGTTTTTCAAATGTCTTTAAAATTTGAAATTGAATCAGGATGCTAATTTAGGTTAGAGAGAAATAGAAATTGTTTACATTAAGAGACAGTAATTAGGTAATTCAAATGGAAAAGTAATTAAAAAGACATGAGACTGCTTATATTTTAAATAAGAAGATACTTCTGTTAGTATTAAAAGGAATTTGAGAGATATAAGAATATCTATTTGTTAAGCATTCTTCAGCAAGTTCTTTTGACTTTTTTTTTTTAAAGGCATTGGTTAGAGAAAACTTAGTTTGCAAAACAATAGGACTGAGTAGTTTTCTTTAAAGGTTTTACAAATCCCTGGCACAACTACTATCTGGTCACTATTAATTCCTTTATATACGTGCTGGATTATGTATTTGTAATTTTGTTTATGTGTATATGTTCGTGCCACAGTGAATGTTTATGTGGAGGTCTAAGACAGTGTTCAGGAGTTGGTTCTAACTTTCCACTGTGGATTCTGGGTATCAAATAAGTCAGGGCTGCATAGAAAAATTTCACCTGCTAAGCCATCTTGCTGGCCCATATGTTTGTGGATTTAACTTGAGCCTGTTTATAAGAAGTATTAGCAAAACTTGGTGTTAAGTGGTGGAGCTGTAGAGTCCTTGCCTTGCATACATGACATCCTAGGTTCACTCTGTCCCCCAAGAAACCATTGACAAATGGAGCTTGGGAGATTGCTCAGTGGGTCAGAGTGCTTTGCAGCACAAACATGAACCAGGAATGCCCATGTACCCTTGTGACCCTAGTGCTAGGGACAAGGGTCAGTTGGAGGCAGAAGGATGGCTGGGGCTTGCTGACCTATTTAGTTTAGCCAAAAAAGCAGCAAGCTCTAGGTTCAGTGAGGGGACCCTATCTTAAGGGGCTCAGGCAGAGAGTGACAGACAGGATACCTACTGGGCTGCCAGATTTTCAGATTAGTGTTTTATATGTCACTAGTCTAATAGTCTAAACTTGTTTTATTGAAAACAGACTTGTCAGCTCTTTCTGTTTTAGGAAAGTAAACTTGAAAAATTGGAAGTATAATTGAACTTTTTTTTTTTAAATCTGTTGATGTATTTTCACAAAGTGAAACCCAACCTAGATAGATGAAGATCTCCATTCTTCAGAAGCTTTCCTGTGGTGCCTTGCCACTAGATAGTAACTCCTTCATAAGAAAGGTAATTACCCTGTGACTTTATCAGAGATAAGATTTTCTTAGCCTCCTTTTAAAAAAATAGCCAGATCCTAAGCGTGTGCTTGTTTTTGTTCCCAGTCCCTTCTCTTACTTTTTAAATATTTGTAAGTAGGGTCTTATTTCATACTCTTAATTTAGATTCTGTTACATGACTATAACATCCCCTTCTGCTGTTGATACTTGGATTCTGCACAGTTTGGGGTTCATAAGGATAATTTTGCTATGGCAGTTCATCTCCCTGTCTTTTTGTATGCTCACACTCACTGTTGGTAGTGGAATGCCTAGGAGAGGTGCTGTTTGGTCAGTAGGTGTGTGTATATCTGTACCATTTTATGTTTATTTTTCTGGAGACTAAAAATACCAGTTGCAGCACATGCACATGCTTTTTTGCAATTACTATTATTTAGTTTTAAACTAAACAAAATATTTTGGTCTATAGTAGTATCTCACTGTGATGACACTCTATTTTTCTGATTATGTTGAGTATGATCTTTAGGATTTTTATTAGATCCTTAGGCTATCTTTAAAATTAGATTGTCATTTTATTTTAAAAAACATTCCATTTTTGATTATATGTATACATATATGTGTCTGTGTGCGAGTGATGCATGTGAGTACAGGTGCTAGAGTACAGGAGGATATTGAACTCCATGTAGACTCAGATCTCTGAGCTACTGTGGAACTGAACTGAGGTGTTCTGGAAGAGCAGAACATGCCTTGACCACAGAACTGTTTCTCTAGCATCGCTTGTCATTTTCTTGATGATTTGAAATTGTTTTCAACATATGTTTTGGATATGAATCTTGGTTGTACATGTGCCTTGACAGAGTTCTGCATCCTTAGCCTGCATTTTCAGTTTTTCATAATGAATATCCAATTATAACAATCTAGTTCCTCCCCCCCACCCCCCACGTGCCATTTAAGAAATCTCTGCCCAATTTGAGAAAGTTTTAACCATTTCTGGTCATCTAAAAACTCCATTGTCCTAAATTTTCTGTTTAAGCCTCTACTATCCCCCTTTCTATATTTCCCAGGGTCTGGGTTAGATCTATCAGTCTGGTTGCTCTTGATTTTCGCACAGGTAGATAGAGGAAGTCTATCGGTATGACTTAATGAAACTTACATTTATATATTTAATTTGGTATACATACATGTGGCTGTTAGAGGACAACAGGATAGGTTCCTCCATCTCTGTGGAGATGGAACCGAGGTCATCAGACTTGGTGTCTAGGTGGGATCTTTACCTGATGACCCATCTTGCCAGCCCAAGAAACATTTTACTTTTGTAAATTGTAGTAAAATTTCAAGATGGTATCTGTTTGTGTTGTTAATTAAATCTGGTGAGTCTGTAAAAGGAATTTTAAAAGTTTTTCCACATTGACTAAGAGGCAGTCAGTTTTACTTTATATTATAGTACGTTCTTTTGAGTATGATGGTGGTGGTGGTGATAGAAGTCATGTGTTTTCTTTTAAGGTAGTGTGTCTAGCTCAGGCTGGCCTTGAGCTTCCTATTGAACCCCTGATCTTCTGTGTGCACTTTCCAAGACCCATACCCAGCTTATAATGGTAGAGAAAACACGAATTGTGCAGCTTGGCGCAGTGCTGTGTTCACACAGATGACTTAGTTGGCTGTTAAGAATGAAGTCATTAATATCAAAAAGATAACTATATGCTTTTTAAAGGCCTAAGTGAAGTGCCTGGTAAATAGTATGTTCCATAAATATTATTTAGAACTCTTATTCCTGAATTTTTGAACCTAATTAAACTTGAAACCCGACTGAGAGGATTTGTATTGTAGTAGTTTTATTAAGTAAGATGATTTAAATCTAACTTTTATAAATAGTAAAATCAGCTTGGCAGTTTATACATATTGTTTTGCTATGTATATTTTAGTAGTTTAAACTTTGCCAGTGTCTTGTAGTTTATTATCTCTTTCATGCATTATGTATACAAGTTATTCTTAAGATCATGAAAACTTTAGGCAGACTATGTTTAACTCTGACATTGAATAATTATTTTTATTTTTATTATTCAGGAAATCTCAACTATCAACGAGACTTTTAAAAGGCTCTCTAAATATTTGGTAAGTGCTTGCTTTCTTTGTACTTTTGCATGTTTTTTAAATTTATGTATATGCTACATGAACCCCTCTTGACAACAGTAAGTTAAATTACAATAAGAATTATATTTGTTTTCATTTTTACCTAGGTACGAGAATTTCTTCTCTTTATATCTTTTGTGATCCCTCTACACATTGTGTCTAAACAATCAGGTTAGTAAGTAGGAATGGTAGTTTATGAATTAAGACTTTTTCTACCTGAGATTTTATAATAATTGTCTATTAATTGCCAAAACATGCAGATAGATGATGATGATGATACTGTTTGTTGCTGACTGTTCCTTAATGCATTAAGTCTTGTTTACTACAGTGGAGCATAAGCACCATTACTGTGGGTTCGCATCTATGCTGTTTCCAATCTGGACTATCTTAATTTATCTGTTCTAAGATTAAAATGAAAACTTCTGTTTGTAGTTGCTTCTAATTAAGAATCTGGTAAGTTAATCATTTCACTAGAGTAAGCTGTTCCCCCCCCCCAACTCCCTTGTGTGTATATAATCTATGTGTGGTGTATCTATGTGTGCACATGTGAGTACAGGTATGTGTGTATGCATGCTGAAGCCAGAGGAAGATGTCAGGTGTCTCACTTTATCATCTTCTAACTTGTTCTCTTGAGACAGGTTCTCATTGAAACTCAGGCTCACCGTCTTTTGGCCAAGCTAACTGGGCAGCAAGCCCTAACAACCTTTTTGTGTCCCCCAACCCAGTAGTGGAGTTACAGGGCCACCTGACCATGCCTAGCTTTTATGTGCATGCTGGGAATCAAAGCTTAGGTTCTTATGCTTGCAAAGCAAGCACCTTTAGGCATCCCCAGCCCATCTCTTGATCCTGCTCCTTTTAGGCCGATTCCTTCCTGTCCATCTATGCATCCACCCATACACATATTATGTTTAGCCTGCACATAAGAGAAAGCAGGTGATAGTTTCTCTTCCCTGAGTTTGGCATAATTAACGATTAACGTGAGGATCCCCATTTCTACCCATCTTTTAAATGTATTTTTATTGTATCATGGTGCATGTGTACATGTTTCTTCATCCATTCATTTATCTGTTGTGTGGCAGCTGTGAACAGCGCTCCAGCAAACACTGATGTGCATAGCACTGTGCTGGCTGGTTCTTTTAGCTATGTGTCTAGGAATGGAATAACTGGATCACAAGAAGTTGTAGTTGTAGGTTTTTTTGAGAATCCTTTGTACTGATTTCCATAATGATTATACCAGCTTATATTTATACAACAGTGTATAAAGCCTTCCTTTTAATAGTGAAAAAATTTAAAGTGATTAAGTGTTCTATAAAATGAGATAAGATGCTGAGATATCCAATAATCAAGTACCATGGTATAGTTTGTGGTTGTTATGAATATAACCACACAAAAATGTTTATTTCATTATCTAGAGTCTCTAGATATATGAAGTGGAAAAAAACATATTTTTTGTATTAAACTGTTTACTGTATTTGAAACAGTCAGTATTTGACCAGAAGATATCTCCATAGCAGTTACAGCACATAAGCAGCAGTTATAGTCTTCTGTTTAGCACATACTTGCAATTTGTAGCAGGAACAACTAATGGAGCAAAGATGCTTGTGTGGCAGCTCATCTCTGGAATATATCACAAAGAAGGGGCTAGTTTGGCCCTCTCCTACATGTGAACCAACTGCCATCATTTTAGACTTCTGCCACATTGTAGGATATCTCATCTTAAATGTATTTATGACAGTTTACACACCAGAAAACCTCAGACTTTCATACTTTTCAGTGATTCTGAGTCTGTCAGGTATGCGTTCCTCACAGCCACTTGGGTGAAGGCTGCTTTCTTCACCCCTCGTCTCCCTCTCTTGGCAACAAGTGCTGGGCTTTCTGCTTGTGAGAGTTTGCCAGTTTTGGATATTTATAAAAATGCACCACATAGTATTTTTTCCTTTGTGCCTGGCTTCATTTAGCACAGCCTCATATATGTCATGTAGGTATTTAATTCATTTTTATGACTTGGTGTTCCTTCGTATGCCACATGTTCTCTGTTCATCAGTTGATAGATCTATTCTTTTGATTGTCAGGAGTGTGTTGTGAACTTGTGTGGGTATATATTTTCATTTTAGCATATGTGAATGGAGCGGGATTGTGTTCCTCTTCGAGTAGTGGTCAAAACAGCAGTACAGAGGGTCCTAGTTTCTTCACATCCTCATGGGCAATTCTGTGTATTTTAATCTTCCTGGTTGGTGTGAAAGGACACTTCATTGTGAGTGCTCTTATGTGCTTACTGGCCGTTTGTTGTCTCTGAAGAGCCATTCAAGTTTTTTGCTTAAAAAAAAGATTTATTTATTTTATTTATATGAGTACACTGTAGCTGTCTTCAGACACACCAGAAGAGGGCATCAGATCCATTATGGATGGTTGTGAGCCACCAAGTGGTTGCTGGGAATTGAACTCAGGACTTTGGAAGAGCAGTCAGTGCTCTTAACCACTGAGCCATCTCTCCAGCCCAGAACAAATACTTTTAATGTTGAATTGTGATCATTCTTTCCAAGTTGTGACTAGTAGACCTTTATTAAATATGTATGTGAGTTGCAAGTATTTTCTTCTGTTCTGTGGGTTATTATCCTTTTAGTTTGAAAAAGTCATTGAATGAAATGACTGATTTTGTTTTTTCAGATGGGTTTCTCTGTGTAGCCCTGGCTATCCTGGAACTTACTCTGTAGACCAGGATGGCCTCAACCTCAGAGATCTGCTTCTGCCTCCTGAGTGCTGGGTGTAAAGGTGTGTGACACCATTGCCTGGCAGCAGTATGAAAGATTTTAATTTTGATAGAGCTCAGCTATCATTTTGCTTTGTGTGTGGCACAAAGTTACAAGTTTTTTAAAAATAAGTCATCATTGATAGTTTGTCTGTGATAGGCTTCATCATCATAAGTCCATAAAGAACACTGGCATTTCTTGTGTTTGATGGCCAGAGCACAAAGGAAAGAATTTCTGTTGTATTTGTCTTTCAGTTCCTCATGTATTTGTTTCCACTAACCTTATGTTTGACTCTGTGTACTATTCGATGCCCGACACTACCTGCCCTTGGAGGTGAGGTGACGCAGAGTCAACGGCACAGTCTCCAGGAGCAGGTGAGAAACGCCACAGCAGGCTCATCTGAGCACTGCAGCAAGCTCCTTTAATACCCTCCGTCCATGCCCCATTGGTCCCAAGAAAACATCTCTTCTAAACAGCAATTCCTCATTGGCTGGCATTGTCTGCACCAGCAATCCTTTGTCTTTCAGGCAGTCCTCAATTAAGTCCTGCAGGAGATGCTTTTGTGGCTGTGCAGCCCCTGGAATTCTATGATGTGTGTGTTAGTTTCCCCTTCCCCTGAGATGAGACAGAGTCTTGTGCATCTCTGGCAGGTCCTGGATATCCCTACTTCCCAAGTACCGGAAGTTTTGCTTGCATGCCTTTGATTTCTGTTCTTGAAAGAAAATGGATTCATATATGAGATATATCTTTGTTACTTTTTGGCTGAGAATGTTTTTTGATTGGCGTGTGGCCAAAAGCTTTCTTAGGGGATCACAGAACACAAAGCTGATAGAAGAAATGCTGGGAAGAAGCTCTAAGGCAAGATGACATCAGAGGATGTACACTATATATCTGAGTACGATCTCTGTCCAGCTCTTTCACTGACTATCATAAACTACTCAGGTGCCCAGGTTATATCCCAGGTATCAGGCTGATGAATAGGAAGGCATGGTCCAGAGGTGAAGGAACTGAGCACAGGTTGCTGCATGCTGCAAAGGACACAGTTTGGCATTCCCATCCACAACAACACTAAAACCAGAAGTTCCTCTGAAAGATTATAGCAAAGTCCAGACAGACTGTTACCTTATTTACATAAGGAATTCTGTTTTCAAAGGACTCAAGAAGAATACTTAGAAGTGAATAGATAAAGCATAGAGGCACTTTAAAGATGCAGGAGAGTTTTAGGGCTGTCTGGAAGGAGAGTTAATTAAGTAAGCAAAACAAGTGTTTAGCAGTGAGGAGAGTCAATTAACTTAGAGTAATAAAAGTCATCAACTGGAAGGATGGGGAGGATAAAGACTAGAGAGTCCAAGTGAGAGGAATGCTAGCTGTGTGAAGTCACATGAGGGTAAATAATGGTTGCAGACTCAATTCAGTGGGAAGTGTCACCTACAAAACCAGGAAGTTCAGGCAGAAACAACATAAAAGAATCTACATTTAGCCATGTAAGTAGCTGAGCTGCTCAGTTGCCACAAATACAAAGAAAATCTTGAAAGCACTAATAGAGAAAGAACTTATCATGTTGGCTAGATGAGGAACTAGATGTTCAGTGAGCTGAAAGAAAAGCTATCAGATGTGAATTCTGTGATCATGATAATTTGAAAGTAAAATAAAGACTTGTTCAGATAGAGAAACACTGGGATTTTCTATCATCTCACCACAATTATGAATCGTTCTAGAGGAGATACATCAGTTTGCAGGGAAATAGCCCCAGAAGTCATATCAAAGCTAGTAAATATGTAATTTACTATAATTTTTCTAATTATAAAAAAGCTGAGCCGGGTGGTGGTGGCGCACACCTTTAATCCCAGCACTTGGGAGGCAGAGGCAGGCGGATTTCTGAGTTCGAGGCCAGCCTGGTCTACTGAGTGAGTTCCAGGACAGCCAGGGCTACACAGAGAAACCCTGTCTCGAAAAAAACAAACCAAACCAAAACCAAAACCAACCAACCAACCAAACAAACAAACAAAAAAAGCTGTATGATTTTCTTTACTGAAAAATTACAAACTATAGTACTATATTGTTGTGTAAATAATGTGTACATGAAAACATTTATCAAACTACACTGTTTCTTTCTGACTAAATTTGAATTTTGTTGTTGATTTTGTTAGGATCTTTATTGTGCTTTTGCTTATTTGAATGTATCTCTTGTGAAATGTCTGAGAAATGACCTATCAGACTCTTTAATAAGATATAATGTGACAAATGGACATTAAATGGTATTTAGTCTTTCAATATCTCAAATCTGTTTAAGTCTTTAGTTTCATTTCAGGTTGTTTAGTAGCATATTGTCACTTGAAATGAGAATTTTATAACAAATCTGCCATTCTAATTATTTCAGGTAGGCTATTCAGTGATGTTGATTACATTTACACTTCGGTATGCCTCTCGTTATTCCCGACAGAAACTCTGTACCCAGTATCAATGATCCTGCAGTTCCTCTTCTTTAAGTGTTATCAGACTGTCTGTCTGAGCCATGAGGGTGCTGTAAATTCTCACAAGAGCTGCTCGGACAAGTGTTTGCCGACTCTTCTCAGTTTGTGACTGATCTTTCAAAAGTCTTTTTTATTAGTTCGAAGGTCATTTTGTAGTTTTGCTTTTACATTTCGTAACTTTTATTTTAGAAATTCTTTTAGTATCTCTGTATAAAGCCTTTCTATTAGTTAGGTTCTCTAGAGTCACAGAACTTATGGAGTGTCTCTATATGTTAAGGGAAATTACTAGAATGACTTGCAGCTGTGAATGGGAAGTCCAAGAATCTAGTAGTTGTTCAGTCCCATGAGGCTAGTTGTTCCAGCTGGTCTTCTGGATAGGCTAGAATCCTGAAGAAGTAGGTTCCAATAGATGTGCTGGCAAGTAAGTGCAAGCAGGCAAAGAGAAATGAACCCTTCCTTCTTCCATTGTCCTCAGTAGGCCTCCAGTAGAAGATGTGGCCCAGTTTAAAGGTGTGTATTACCACACCTGGGTTTGGAACTTGCTCTGTCTGGCACAGGTGGCTTTGAACTCAGAGATCGGCTTGCCACTTATCTCCTGGGATTAAAGGCATGTACTACCTTACTTGGGCCTAAGCTTTTCATGGCCCCTAAGCCTCAAGATCTGGATCAAAAGCCAGTCTCATCTCATGTCAGGCTCTGCGTCAAAAGCCTGTGTCTTTCAACCTCAGGATCTAGATCACAGATGTGCCCTCCATTTCTGGATTGTAGTTCATTCTGGATGTGGTTACATTGACAACCAAGAATAGCCATCACATCCTAATAGCCCCAAATTCATTGCATAGACAAAGCTGGCCTCAGATTTGGATTGGATCTGCTGCCAAGACTTGAGGCCTACATTGTCAGCATGTACCACTATGCCTGACTTTATATAGATTTTTGTTCTTTTATTGTATTTTGGAAGGCTGAGTAATGGCCCCCAAATATGTCTACATCCTAATTTTCAAAAGCTGTGTTGTGTCTTGTCCTGAAGGAACTGCACATGTGGTTAAGAATGTTAAAATGAAGAGGCTAGGGAAGAGGAGATGAGAAAAAGATGTATAGGTGGCAGTGTGCTTTGAAGGAGGAGAAAAGGTCCAGTAGTCTACCAGATTTAATAAGCTTTCTGCATGCTATAAAGTAAAGGGGAAAAAATTAACTTGACTTTCCAGCACTTTGGATTTTAGCTCGGTGAAACTAGTTTTGAACGTCTAATCTCAAGAACCTTGAGTTAAAGAACTTTCTTTCTGCCAGTGAGTTTTTGTGATAGTTGCAGTAGCCACTACTATTTTGCTAAAAATCCCCTCTGATGTGTGTGTGAAGCATGTGTAGCAATTGGTAGAATTTTGAAGAACATGAAAGGAGAACACCTAGCCTGTCTTGAATATCACAGAAATACAAAAGCTTTGCTGCTGAAGCCTCAGAAGGAAGTAAAGGAACCTGGTAAAGAAAGCTGGACTTGGAGCTAGAGAGATAGTAGGAAGTGTTAAGGATTCTTGCTGCTCTTGTAGAGAACAGGGTTAAGTTCCCTGCATCAACATTAGGCAACTCCCAACATCCTGTACCCTCTCGGTGCCTCTTCAGGGACATACATGCATCTGCCCATACAAACACACATGGTCACAGCACTAGCATGCTCACACACAAACAAGTAAATAAGGAATACTTGAAAGAAATTCTCACGAATAGACTGCTGGTGGAGATTTAAATGTTAAAGGTACCTGTGGGTGCGTGTATGGAGGCCAGAGGTCGATCTTGCACGACTTTCTAACACAGGGCCTCACTGAATGTAGAATTTCCCAGTGGGTTATACTGGCTGGTCAGTGAGCCCCTCATGTTCCTGCTCCTACTTCCTCAGTTCTAGGATCGCTCCTGGTTTGCTAGCCTTTTTACACGGGGATCTGAATTCAGTTCAGGTCTTCATGCTTGGATGCAAGCATTTTGCCTACCTAGCCATCCCCTTAGTCCCTAAATTTATAGTTTTCATAAAATGGCAGTATTACTTGGAACAAACTTCTTTTGAGCTGGGGACCAAACCTGAGGTGAGGATTTGCAAGCTCTACCACAGAGTTGTTTCCCTAACCCTGTATGCTTAGGCATTATCATAAAGACTTTGTCACTTTTTGAACACATGAACATTGTACAATTTAATGCAGAATTCAGAACTTCTCTTTTTTAAAAATTGAATTTACGATGGAAATTTATTTATTTAGCATAATATATTAATTCATTTAGATTAGCTTACTTATTGAGGAAAATTATTTGGAAACTGGAAGTATGTTGTTTTTAGGATCATCTTAAGTGGTAATTTTTGATAATGGCTAATGAGTACATTTGAATTATAAAGTCCATACATTCAGCCCTTACCTACCTCTAAGTCCTTTATAGTGTGGTCTTGTTTGCTTGTTTTCTGATAGAATCATATGCAAGAATATAATTACTATGTTTTTAGTCATCACTACATTGAAATTCAGTGTTTAAGTTTAAAGTAAAATGTAATGCTACTTAGTGTGGAATTGCTAAATTCCATAATATTACAGTTCCCTCTTCTGTCATGTCAGAGTTACTGCACCATGCTTAGCCTGTCTGATTCCAGGAATTACCAGGAAACTGTACCAATTATATTGTTAGTATTTCTTTAATAGTTGAATTTAGAATATCCATTGCCAAAAGTTAAATGTAGTCAATATGGGAGATTGGATCGGTCAACAAGGTAAGGAACACTGAAAAACACAGGCATTGTGCAATTGATGGCATCTAATATGTTCTGCAGGAGATCTAGGCACCCAGTGGGGTGGATTAAGGTGATGGAAGAAGCCAGTGGAACAGAGCGCTGCTCTGTACATCTGCTCAGAACTTGTTAA